CCTCTCGCCAAACCTGAGAGGGCTGTCCCTTCCCATAGCTCAGAAAGCTTGCTCAGGCTGGGCGCCGTGGCTCATGCCTATAATCCCAGCATTTTGGGAGGCCGAGGCAGGAGATTTGCTTGAGCCCAGGAGTTTGAGACTAGCCTGGGCAACATAGCAACCACATCTATACAAAAAATAAAAAAAACTAGCCAGGCATGATGGCATGTGCCTATAGTCCCAGCCACTTGGGAGGCTGAGGTGAAAGGATCACCTGAGCGCAGGAAGTCGAGGCTGTGGTGAGCTGTAATTGTGTCACTGCACTCCAGCCTGGGTGACAGAGTGAGATCCTGACTCAAAAAGAAAGAAAATCTTGCTCAGAGCATAAGGCACCTTCCTGCCCTGAGACTTGGGGGCGGGGTTATAAGCTGACACTCCACAGGCCTCATTTATGGATACACACACAGTACTTTTTAAATTGGGAAGCCTCACTTTGGCATCTGGACTTAGATTCTCTTGAAAGATTGGAAGAGCTAGCCATCCTGGGCCTGTAGTTTCAAGTGGCTATAACTAGTTGGATCTGACTCGGCTTCATTTTTTTACGTTGCCTTCTTGGCCCCTAGAGGCATTTGAGTTTGAGACTCCTGCTTTAATGGTAAGGAACTCTAGGCTAGCGTGTCTCAATTTGTTTTTTTAAGAGACGGTGGGTGGTGGAGGAGGGTCTCTCTATATTGCCCAAGTCGGTGTTGAAGTCTTGGTCTTAAGCGATTCTCCAGCCTCAGCCTCCCACGTAGCTGGGATCACAGGCTGAGCCGCTGCACTTGCTACACATCTCAAATGTTAACATGCACACAAGTTTCTCGGGGTCTTGTTAAGATGCAGATTCTGGTTTAGTAGGTCAAGCGGGATCCGAGTTTTGTGTCTCTACACAAATGCCAATGTCGCTGATCCTGGATTTCAAGTGTGAGCCATCACACCCAGTCTGTTTGCCTTTCTAACAAGGCAAACCAGGTGGTACCACTGCAGCCAATCTGGGGACCAGACTTTGAGAACCACCGCTCTCAACTCTGTACTGACTCTCACCTAGGGTGAGGGGTGCCCAGAGGTCCCCCAGAAGGCGGGATTTTTGTTCTCTCTGAGAACAGATTCCTTGACTTCCAGTTCTCACTGAGAGAATCAGGTCTTGGTTGGCTTCTTCAGTCAACCATCTCGCTGACCAGACCCAAGCGGTTTTCTCAAGTTCAAACCCACAATTTAAAGACGTAATTGGAACTTGGAGGCAGCAGAAGGTTTTGTCCATAGGTTGCAAACTTCTTCCCCATTCCAGGGGGTTCTGATCCGTGCAGCTCACAGCCACGGCCCTCTCCGAGGAGGTCTCATATTAGATACCCCAGGAAGCCCAGAGAAAATGGATTCTAGTATCAGATATGGGGTCTTGGGTGGGTCCAGGTCTTTAGTTTCAGGTGCAGAGCCCCAGGGGTGGGAGGGGAGAGGCCACACTCTACAAATAGCCATGGCTACTGTAGCTTTAAGGCCATGGGCAGACTGGGCCCAGAGCCATCCGCCACAACTGCCTTGAACAAGAATGGCCACCCAGGCCCCAGCTGGTTCCCCAGAGTCCTTGAACTTGAGAGGACTGCCAGCCAGATCTGTATGGGTGAGCTGAAGATCAGAGAATATGAATGACTGAATTCTCTTCCTGAATGCCTGAGAGCAGGGACTGGCGGTCTCACTGGGGCACTGCCTTACTCTGGAAGGCAGAAGCCCCCTACTGTTCATGGGAAGCCTGAAGCCCCTGCCCGTGGATGGGGGTGTGAGCAGGCCTGGTGTCCGCTGTCCCTCCCAGGCAGACCTTCAAGTCCCACGTGAGGGGGGGGCCACACGGGGCCTGGCCCTGGGGATGGCAGATGTCCTGGGGAAGCTTGGATAGCCCTCATGCAAACCCTGGCTCTCCACTTGCTGGCAGGATGACCTTGGGCAGCCGTCCATGCTGCTGAGGCAATGACTCCCCATGGGGTTGACTCAAGGATTAGATGAGGTGATGTTCACAGAGTGCCATGAGAGTTTCTGGCACATGTGAGGTGCTTGCCAAATGGTGGCTGCTATTATCAGCATAATAACAGATATTAATTGTGATCATGTAGTTATATACACTACCCTGACACAGCCTCTCTCCCATTCTCTCACAGGCTTCCAGACACGACAGTTTGCTTATGCTCAAAAAGCACCTATTTGGCAGCAACTGTATTCATTCTCCGACTCAGCCCAGATTTAAGTGTCTTCTGTGTGCCAGCCACTGTTCTAGGTCAGTGCTGTCCAATATACATATAACACAAGTCACAAATCTGAACCACATAAGCAATTAGCATTTTCTAATAGCCACATTACAAAAAGTAAAAAATAGAGCCAGGCAGGGTGGGTCACATTTGTAATCTCAGCACTTCAGGAGGCTGAGGCGGGAGGATTGCTTGAGTCCAGGAGTTCGAGACAAGCCAAGGCAACATAGCAAGACCTCATATCTACAAAACTTAGCTGGGTGTGGTGGCACACACCGTAGTCTCAGCTCCTCGGGAAGCTAAAGTGGGAGGATCGTCTGAGCCCGAGGCTGCGGTAAACCATGATTGTACCACTTCACTCCAGCCTGGGTAACAGAGTAAAACCCCAAATCAAAACAATAAATAAATAAGTAAAAATAAACAGATGAAATTAATTTTAATATGTTTCATTAAACCCAATATTATCACTAACATGTAATCAATATTTAAAATTACTCATGAGTTTTTTTATGTTCAATATGACTTTTTTATTTTTAATTGTGGAAAAATATACCTAATATAAAATGCACCACCTTAACCATTTTTAAGTGTGCGGTACAGTAGCATTAAGTGCACCCACACCATTGTGCCATCCATCTCCAGAACTCTTATTATCCTGCAAAATATGAATGAGATACTGTAAGTCTCTCTTTTTCATACTAAATTGCAATCTGGACTGTGTCCTACATTTAGCACCTCTCAGTTCCACTCTAGGTGGTTCCAGCACCCAATAGCCGCCACACATGACCGGTGGCTACCGTCATGGACCACAAAGCTCAGCCACTGGGGTAGAAGCAGACTGAGCTAGGTCGCAGGGAGTGAAAGCCCCAGTGGAAGGAGCTAGATAGAGAGTGTTAGGCTCTACAGAGAAAATAAATAGGGCCGTGGGCTCTGGGTGATGGAATGCCAGGGAGGCCTCTCTGAGAGGTGGGTTTGGGCCGAGGCTTCAAAAAGAAGCCAACCCTAAGAAAATCTGGGGGGATGGTCCTCAACCCTAGCTATGCATCAAACTCTGGGGAAGTTTAAAAGAAAACACAGATGAAGGCCAGGCACCATGGCTCACGCCTGTAATCCCTGCACTTTAGGAGGCCAAGCGGTAAGAATTGCTTAAGCCCAGGACTTTGAGACCAACCTAAGCAGCATGGCAAGACCTTGTCTCTACAACAAAATCTTAAAAATTAGTTGGGTGTGGTGGCATGCACCTGTAGTTCCAGCTATTTAGGAGGCTGAGGCAGACGGATTGCCTGGGCCCAGGAGGTCAAGGCTGCAGTGGCCGTGATCATGCCACTGTATTCTAGCCTGGGTGACAGAGTGAGATGCTGCCTCAAAAAATAAAAATAGAGTATAAGGACATCAATCTGATTAAATTAGGACCCTTCCTGGGATCAGTAGTCACTGGACACTGCTAGGGGAGGGAGGGAGGAAAGGAGAGAAGAAGAGAGGGAGGGAGAGAGACAGGCGCCAACACAAAGGGTACTTGGTCCACTGCCAGGGAGAGTGAGGGCCAGTTAAAAGCCCAAACTTCACCTGCATGCAGCCTACTTATGTAGTTAATCCTCACTGGTACCCCACAACTCTATAATAAATATTTTTTTTTTTAAATAGGACCCTAGCCAGGCTCGGTGACTCAGCCTGTAATCCCGCGCCTTTGGGAGGCTGAGGTGAGTGGATTGCCTGAGCCTGCGGGTTCGAGACCCTCCTGGGCAATAAAATAAAAAAATTAGCCGGGCATGGTAGCGCGCGCCTGTCATTCCGGCTACTCGGAAGGCTGAGGCGGAAGGATCGCCGGGGCCCAGCAGGTCAAGGCTGCGGTGGCCGGGAACGGCCACTGCACTCCAGTCTGGGCGACAGAGTGAGACTCCAACTCAAAAAAAAAATAGGACCCTTCCTAGCAGCCTCGTTTTAACTTACCCACCTCCTTAAAGGCCCTCCTCCAGATATAGACACATTCTGAGCTACTGGGGATTGGGATTAGGAATTTGGGGGGGACACAATTCAGCCCCTAACACAGCTCAAAGTGGCAGGTGGCTGGGGGTAGACCAAGTGCTCTTCGTCTCCCCTCCTCACCTTACTCTTGCACACACACGAGCAGTTGTGGGGTTCAGAATGTTTACGGAAAAGCCGCTTTCCAACTGAAAAGTTTTCCAGCCAAAACCAACCCTTGTGACCATTCCAGCATAACAGCCAAATGTCAACCCTGCCCACGGCCTTGAAAGTCCATGTATATTTATTAAGCACCTACTGTGTGCCAGGCTCCGAGCTCAAACATTGGGGAATCTGTCTAGGGACCTCCCTACCCAATAGGATGGATAAGAAAGGGCCATGGGTAGCCATGATATGAGGCAGGCGGAGAAAGTAAAATAGGAGAGGTCAGTCCTCCATTATGAGGATTATGGAGGACGGTGGATGACTTCCATTCGCTGGGGACTTCCTAGGGGAAGTGGCATTGGAGGTGGGCCTAGAAAGTTATAGAGAATTTATTGGTCAAAGAAAGGCACTTCAGGAGTGAGTGAACACGTGGCAGTGGGAACTCCCAGAGTGTCGGTGGGATTTGGCGTGTGGCTGGATGGATACGGAAGACAAGTAAGAAGCTGCTTGTAGGCACTGGTCTCTCTCAGTGTCAGGCCTGTGCCAGGTGCTTCATAGCTACCATTTAATCTTTATACCAACCCAGTGAAGTCGCCACTGTTTCCCCCTCGTTTTACCGAGGGGGAAACCAGGGCACAGAGAGGGTAAGTAAATTCTACAACATCACACAGTGATAAGTGACAGAGCCGGGATTCAAACCCGTGCTCTTAACCACCACCCTATTGTGAAGGGAAGTGTAGGGAGAGAAAGGAGACATGTAGGTTGGTGCCAGGTAGTAAGGTGTCTTGAAAGACAGCTAAAGGTTGGGCCTTTATCTGAAGACATCAGGAGCCACTGAAAGTTTCTGATAAAAACGTGACACGGAGACAGCTAAACGTCTGGGAATTACAGCCAGAAACGAAATCTTTCACTTATGGATCTGGGAAACTCCCCTTCCAGCACCTTCCTTTCTAAGGCAGCCTAGCAAATAAGTCTGTCACTTTAGCAGCCACCCACATGCTTTCATTCTTCTTTCTCCCTAGTAATTACAGCCGCCAACATTTGTTCAATACAATGCCAAGAGCTTTGCATGCATCATCTCGTTTTAATCCTCATTCAAAACACAAAAAATCCCAGGGAGGCAGGTACTATGGATGGGGCCATTTACGGATAGGACGGCTGAGGCTCAGAGAGGTGGTACATGTTGCCAAGGTCACCCAGCCAGACTCCACCCAAGTCTCTCTGACTCCAAAGTCACATTTTAAATCATAATAGAACCATCCTTGTCTCCCATAGACCTACCATACAAACTTCCAAATATTAGGTTAACCTTACTTTTCTGACTCTAGTCAGGGACACTGCAGTTTATTCCCAGGGGAATAATCACCTCCCTTCCCCTCACCTGCCTCCCCCACACACACCCGCTCCTGGTATCTTCTGAGGCTTAACAGACACCATCCTTCCCAAGTCGTCTCCAACCTTGGCAGGGAGGGCTAGAGGGAACAGGTGACACGGACCACGTTCTCCTCTGCTGTCAACACACACCACCCTCCCTGAGCGAGTGTGCCACTGCCAAGATGGGGGAAGGGCAGGGCCGTGGGCTTAGGCGCTCACCACTGGTACCCCAAGTCACCTGTCCACTGGGATGCGATGACACGACTCCTGGCACAGGGCCCGGCGGGTGAGGTGTTTTCTCAGGTAATTGTGACTGTACAAGACGAGGCCTGGTGTAGCCAAGGATTCGGGCAATAAGGAAAGCAAACACAGCACTAAGACTTTGTCAACAAGGGCATGGGAGAGAGACGCCATCCAGGAAGTGAGATACTGTAAGTCTCTCTTTTTCATACTAAATTGCAATCTGGATTGTGTCTTACATTTAGCACCTCTCAGTTCCACTCTAGGTGAAACTCCTCTGAAATACATCTTTGGCTCACTCTGTCCCCAAAAGCACAGGAAGCTGTAGAAAGAATTATCAGGGGGTTAGAGACCCCAGGCAGACTTTGCTACTTGGTCGAATACCTCACCCTTTTCAAAAACTTTTTAATTGTTTTGTTTTGTTTTTGAGTCAGAGTCTCTCTCTGTCGCCCAGGTTGGAGTACAGTGGCACGCTCACGGCCACCACAGCCTCAATTTGCTATTTCCAAATAGCAGCCTATCATAAGTGTTTTTCTATTTTGCTATTAAAAAATAATCTCATTTATTATTTTTTATGATACAAGCAATATATATTCATTGAAGGAAAGGTACTAAACACAGATACATGATAAACCCAAGATCCTGTTACCCAGAGATAATCACTGTCAACATCTGGGTTAATGCTATCCAAAATGTTATTCCTATGAACACAGATACATACAAATCCATAGGGTTTTTTGAGTCTGGATCTGCCTCTGTTGCCCAGGCTAGAGTGCAGTGGCATGATCATGACTCACCACAGCCTCAACCTCCTGGGCTGAGGCGATCTTCTGTCTCAGCCTCTGGATTAGCTGGGACTACAGGCATGCACCACCATGCCCAGATTTTTTTTTTTTAAAAGACGAGATCTTGCTATGTTGCCTAGGCTGATCTCTAACTCTTGGGTTCAAGCAATCCTCCCGCCTCAGCCTTCCACAGTACTGGGATTATAGGCGTGAGCCACTGTGCCTGGCTCAGGTTTTGGTATTTTTTTAGACAGGGTCTCACTCTGTTGCCCAGATTGTGCAGTGGCGTGACCATAGTTCACTGTAATTTCAAGCGTCTGGGCTCAAGTGATTCTCTTACCTCAGCCTCCTGAGTAGCTGGGGCTACAAGCACATGCCTCCATACCTGGCTAGTTTTAAAAACTTTTTTTGTAGAGATGGGGACTTGCTATGTTGCCCAGGCTGTAAAGGTTTTTCTAAACAAAAATCACTAACCATTCTTCCTAAGGGCTCCCCCAACATTTCAATCTTGTGCCTGTATCATAAAATTTGTTGAACCCTTCTGCGCTTGTACATTTTAGGTTTCTTGCCATGAACATCTGCATTCATGCAGAGAGTATTTCACCACTACAAGATGTGGTCCATCTGTCAAACTCAACTGTGGCGCTTGGCCACCAGGTGAACAAGGTGAACACATTTGGAGCATCCTGGCCTCATGACAAGATGGGTCCTCCAAGGTGCAGCCTGTTGGCCAAAGGCCAGATGCGGGTTTGTTTCTCCTTTAAAAGGACATTCAAAAAGAAAAAATAAACAGGAGGGCCTTCCTCACAGCTATGGCCGCATCTGCTGTCTTAGAGTTTGGGGTCTTCTGTCTGGGTTGGCAAGATGCATCAGGCTCTCTTGGGATGGAGGCCTGTATAATTCTAGGCCCAGCAGCAGAGAAACCTACTTAACAGGTTTTGTAAGGTAACCACCAGGCATAGTGGCAGAGGCCAAGGGGTCAGTAGGGCGAGTTGTCTTTGAGTCACAAGTCGGAAGGTGTTTTATCTAATCTGGTAAGTTTACAAGACAAGCAAGGATCTTTGCTGAATCTGTCTCCCTATGCAGAGCGGCATGTGCGATGGCTTTTAAATAGTGCACAGACAAGTGTTTTTCATCTCATCAGTAATAATTTATATTGAGGTGTATTAGAAAACATATATAATTAGTAACATCAAACCTGTGATTTTGTGGACATTCTTGCTAAGGACAAAGCTAAAGTAGGTATTTAAATAAAAACAAGAGTGAGTCAACTTAGAGAAAGGTATTAAGTAAATGACAGTATAATTGGTTCCAGATGCAGCCCAGATCATAATGGTCGAACTCAAAGTCAGCCCTTTGTACATTTAGCACTTAGTCCCCAGGAGTAGAAAAATAGCCGGCAATTTTCAGCTCCACTACTTGACCTGTCTTGCTACAAGAGACCTCTGTCTTCAGCGACAGCTTCTTGGAGCTTCTTAACCCTTCCAGTGAGAGATGGACTTAAGAATCCAGAAGGAGACGGGCTCGGTGGCTCAGCCTGTAATCCCACGCCTTTGGGAGGCTGAAGTGAGTGGATTGCCTGAGCCCGTGGGTTCAAGACCCACCTGGGCAGTGAGACTTCATCTCTACAATAAATCAAAAAAAATCAGCCG